TAACTGTGGTTCTAATTTTTTAAAAGTCTATTTTTTGTTATTTGAAAGATACATATAACAATTCAAAGTATATACAGTATCTATATATTGACTAATGTGTACATGTAACTTGATTCAAATCACCTATATGTGGATTTTAACTTGAAAATGAATACAAAGTAAATGCATGCTAAGATGGGCCTAAGTATGCTTTATATATGGGACATAGCTGTACAGTTTGTCTACTGGAGGGTTGGGGGGGGGACCTGTTTCATAGGCAGATGCAAGACATAATCACAGGCAGAATATGCAGTGCATCACTTTCAAAGGTGAAAGGAATCATTATGGCCAACCAACATAATTATCTGCCAAGGAAGGCAGAATCAGAAATGGAGCAAAGTATTTTAAATGTCACTAGTTTCTTTAAAATGATTCATATATATTATATATCAACATATGTTGACACCATTTATTTCTTCAACCGATTTTAACACATTGGTCTAGCACCGAATACCCAGCTTAAAAATAGCTGACTTTTCTTAATTTTTTACTTTCAAGAAATCAGGAAGCTACTGTCAGGAAAACATGATGATAATTTATTTCAATTACAGACCTGAAAAAACAGCCACTGTTTCTCTTTCAAGACCTGGAAATGGTAGCAGCGCTTTGAATTTTAACAGGCGACTCTAGTAATATGGTGTTGAAGCTCATGTATTCCTCTCCTTTTGCTCCCCATGAAGAACAGTTTTAACTATCCTCATGTCTTCTTCAAAACCAGTTCAATCCATTTGCTTTGCTTTCTGCTTCTTTAGGCTAATATTGGTGGGCATTTGCTAAACTCTAGTTCATATACTATACAGTTGTACATTTTTTTTAAGCATACACCAACAAATATAACTTATCAAAATGTTATATCATTCAGTTTTACATCTTGGTGAGCTGGAATTGGTTGTAATTCCTTGCTGAATACAAATCAGCCCCAGGTTTGTCTCTGGGTATCCCATGAAGCAGCTCTATTGCCTCAGATCCCCCGTCACAGATCACAGAACAAGTATGACACTGCACACTGAATTCTCAGACTGCTTCCTATCCAGTCCCTGGTCAGATCAACAGTTTTAGCAAGGTGGCTGCAACATGTGCCTTCAGACATGTGATGTTTAGAGACCTCTGGACAAAGGTCCCAAAAGCAAATGTTCTCATTTACGGCCATATGGTGCTTTCCTCATCACCACCCATCCTGCAGTTAATTTCTAAAGGCTGAGATACAAGCTTAAACTGAAGCAGCCAATCATTTTGAAAAACAAGTTCCTGCAGGTCTCAGCTTCTTAGTGCTTCATGTGAAATGAGAACATGCTGCAGATAAACCTCAACAACTAAATTTCTTCTTTTACCCTTCAGGTCTGCCATGTAAAAGCAAACTGAAAGTATTTCTTTAAGTTTGTGGACTGATGTATCACCTCCAAAAAATAGTGACTCCTTGTCATCTGGATGCTTGAACTCTAGGATGTATTGCTGTGGCTCAGTTAAGAGTTTTTCTTTTCTTTGAATTAGTTTCTCATACCCAAAAGGAAATCTGGCAGAACAGCAACATCTGTGATGGGTCCCAAGGTACAGGGAACACAGGCTTTGTAACCACAAACATCTAGGTTCAATCCATCTAAAAAGAATAGATATCTAGTAACATGGTTGGGGAAAGCCTCTGCTTCAGACCTTGACAAAGCCATTCTCAGTCTGCTAAGAGAACAAAATAACCCAAATTTCTTTCACAAGGCTGAACTGTACTGAACTGTTGCAGCCTCCTGAGAATCTATATTAATGATCCCTGACCCAGAACCCATGGATGACCTCACCCAGCATCATCTGTTTTCTTGTAAATACGCCTGAAACATGACATTTGAGGCTATAAACCTATGCTTGGTGGTATCCTTCTTACCGGAACTTTATGCGGACTATAAAAATGCACTTCTTTGCAACTGCGCTTGGAAAGCTACTGTGGTGCCGGAAGAGGAGTTGGCTGATGTTGAGCAGCCAAATTCAGTCACTCTCTGCTCACCTCATGACATACAACAACAACGATAATAATAATACAGTGTAATATTACAGTGTAAAAAAGTCACTGTTGGGATGTTTTCAGGCAAAACACTACTACTGCTGTGAATCAAAAGATGTTATCCTGCTACTCTGTATTTTCCCTTTAGTGAATTTTTTGTGGTAAGAACAAAAGATGGAAGAAGCAGTAAGAAATCATATAAGGGTTCCAGATGGGAGACACCGCTCTCTGGAGCATTCAACCAAAAAAAAAAAGGGCAATGTATGACAGAAAGCATCATGCTTAATTAGTCTTGGCCTCAGTTCCCCCACTTGTAAAATAGGAATAGTGATCACCTGGCAAAGGATTCTTAGGCAATTAAAGACTACAAATTGTTTGTGCATTAGATGCGTATAATTAATCACACCAATAATGACTTCTAGAAGATTCTGACAAATATATTTCATGTCAAGAGTATGCACATGCCATAGCTCTGAAGAATGAGGTTCCTTCCACTACCTTAATAAAATTATGGAAGTTCAGGAAATCAGAATTTGTGCACTCATACCAGTTTGAATGTTTGCTGACTTTCATCTGAACCCAAAATACAATCTTCAAATAAGAGTTCAGTAAGGAAAATTGTTCTCAAGAATTGGGACCAAAATTGCACTTACCCTTCTATCCCTGGAATTATCTCTGGGTTTTAAAATATTTTGATCAGATATACATATTTTATATAATACAAAGAACTATTTTAAAAAATAAACAGAGGAATTATTACACCAGAGCCTTTATCTACTTTCCAGTGAATTCTTATAGCGATCTTCAAGAACTTTGCTTTTTTTACAGCATACAGCCCGTTAATGGGTTTATATCAAATATCACAGCTGTTTTCTTATACCCAATTCTATTTTACTTATGTTTTCCTACTGCACTTCCACACGATCAGAGTTTGTCCTTTCTTATCCCTAACACTGTACATTGAAATTGACCCACAAACCATCTTCATTTCTGCCAAATGCAATGAACACCATGAGCTAATTGGTGCTCACCCTCTTTCCTGCCATCTGGTCAACAGGAGAGTGCAAAAACCCTCATCTGATCAGTGTCCCACTCTATATTAGCAATTGTGATAGACAAAAGCCATTTCCTCCCTACTCTCAAGAAAATGGAATAAAATAACTGCTAGCACCTCCCCCTTCTCATTTATGTTTTTCAGTGCATTTATTTATAAGCATCTGTCTGGTTGTCTGCAAAACATCTGAGAGACTGATACAATGGCATATTATGTGAGGGAAGATCAATTGTAAAAAAATGTGAACAAAAGCGTTGAAATATTCCAAAGGCTTCCCAATTACCTTGCCACCATTCCTCTGTTGCACCCAAAATCCCTGTGAATTGTGAAAATGAAATGCAACTAGGCATTTTCCCCAGTAGTCGCGACCATACTTGCATCTTGCTATGGCAGCTGGACTGGGGGAGGAGAGGAGATAAGTTCTAAACAATGCATACAGGAAGAGAAGCTCTGGGAACAGGATACTGGACCTCTAAGATCTCTCTGTCTATCCTTTAGAGCTTGGCTGGTATTTCCAATAAATTGGAAAGAGTTAGAAATAAATGGACAAGAAAATATGGTGAAGTAGTCAGATCCGGAAGTGATCCCAAGATGGTGAGAAGCAGTACTGTGGAACTGTCCATAGCCATGCTGTGTAATCCTTGCAAAAAATCACCTAGGCACACATTGTGCCTGCCTGTTTCAAATGTGATGAGGTTCTAGTACTTTCTCTACTCCACACACAGTGGATAGAAGTAACTGGGGGTGGCGGAGATCTGTGCTGATCTGCTGGTTCATTCCTTACTTTCTACCCAAAGCCAGGTTAATAAGCAAATGGGATGCACAAGCTCAAGTCTTGTAAGTGATGTCACCCTATACAGAATCTCTGGGGCAAATGGGCCTGAAAGAAGCTCAGACGCTCGTTCAATCTGAAACAAGGCCATGATTGATTTACTCTTGGGATTCATACCTAAAAGCAGCTTTCATGTTCTATCAGTACAGTCCCACCCCACTATATGGTGTTCCATAAAGTTTGCCACCCCAATTTTGTTGCATCATGACTTCCTGAAAGCTAGTTAAATGTGTTGCACAAGCATAAGTTGCTTTCAGACACTCAGTCTGTCCATCCTAAAGGCTAAAACAAAAACAAAGGGTATCTCAGAATCTGAGAGCCATACCTAAGGATTCTGGGGTTCCTTTTGTCTTTCTTGATTCGGAGTGCCTGCTAAGTATGAATGGCACAAAAGGGAGAAAGAACCTCCACATTTATTTCACCATCAGGGCTTAAAAGAGCTGAGCTGACCTGCTGTGACACAAGATTTCTTAGCTTTGGGACGCAAATAGGGCAAATGTGGCATCTTGATAATCGGAAGATGTTAGGTTTGGTTGGGGGATGTTATTTATTTCTGGGTATTTTATTTATATTATAGGAGATAGTTACATTATGAATATTTGTTTGTTAACTGCTAGAAGTCCTAGCAGATTACAGTGGGTTAGAAGCTGAATGACTCGGTGTACAAATAAATAAATGGCAACAAACCCAATCATACTGAGAGAGCCGAGATGAAGATGCAGGTTACTTTAAGCTCAGGAAGTAGAATATTTAGCTGGATGTCTTTTGGGGTATTTAAATCAGTGGCACACCTGTGCACACTGAGGATTCTCTGTAGAGCGACACATGAAATTAAACCCATAGCTATCAAGATTCAGACATAAAAAAAAAAGGCACATCTTCGTTTTCACAAGGCAGATTTGGGACACCATATCTCACGTATCTGCAAGCATGTTTCAGCCACCTGCTTGAGCATCCACCAAGCCTTCCATCCAAGATACGTGGTGTGACTGAGATACATCTGTCAAACAAAGGCGTAATGTTCATCCACCTCAAAGCCATAAAATACAACCTGCCCCTATTGTACATACATCTTGAGCACTCACCCAATCCTCGAAGTGCCGGCTCCCGTTCTGCAGCAAGTCCTCAAACTGGATAGTACAGTTCGCCACAAAATCGTCGTACCCAATGGGGGCATCATGGAAAACGGCCATTTCAATCTTCCTGCCATTGCTAACATCAGTGACAAATTCATCGTTCCAGGCAGGGCTGTTGGTTTTCTGCTTGGTGGAGGTCTGCCCGATCCTGGAATCGTCCACATTGAGGGCAATGTATGGGTCCAGCAAAAAGGTCTGTGGCCTGGGACCCACCGCATGCCTTAGTGACCAAGGGGTGGGTTTGAGATTCACCGCTTCGCAGATTTTAATTTTCAGCATGCCATTAAAAACCACCATGGTTAGATGGCTTCACTTTTCCTTGGGATTAAGCACGCTCCGGAGCCAGGCGGGTTTCTAGGAGATCTCTCAATAAATAAGAAGGCAGGTTTGAGTGAAGTGGGGGGTGGGTAGATGTAGGGGGCTCCTTTCTGAGGCTTTGGTTAGTTTTTCCTCTTGCGACACCCAGTGAATGCATACAGGCATAGGTACATATATACACACATGTGTATATACACATGCATACAAACACACACACATATATTTAAGAGATATTGGCCTGTGTGTGTTTTTAACGGAAAAACAAAGAGGGGGGCAGAAGGGAAGGGGAGGGGGATCTCGCTCCTGCTTGCAGAAATCCGAAATGCAATCGCAGCACATTCAAAAGATCCTCGGAGCGGGGATACGGGGATGTACATATACATATATACACACACACGCGCGCGTATATATTATTTTTCTTAAAGAAAGACTCCCCCTCCCGGTCTTCTTTCTCTCTTTAGAGCATAATCCTTGAGCAGTCCTCCGCTGAAAGCAATCCGGCGCTCGCGCTCTGCTGCTGACTTGCCTGTGCGGCGGCGGCGCGGCGGCGGCAGGAATAACAGGGGAGGGGAGGGAGGGGAGAGGAGAGGAGAGGAGGGGGAAGGGGGTCGGAAAAAAAACCAAACACCCAGGAACACCGAACCCAACACGCAGCCCTGCCCACTTCACAGCCTTCCGACTGAAGGGGAGGGGGATCGCACAGTCCGAGGAACCTTACATCCGCCTCGGCTGCTGCGGGAGCTTCCTCGCCTTCTCCGCCTCCTCCTCCTCCTCCTCCAAGGCCAAGGATCCAGTGGATCGAATCCAATGCATGAGGAGAAGCTGCTCCCGATCGACCTGCTCGGGGAAGGAGGGTTGTTCTTTTTTGTTGTTTTCAAAGATCAATTAAAAAAGACTCACGCCGGCACCGAGGTCCCCGCCCTTCCCTCCCCAAGGCCGCTGGTCTGGCTTGTGCCACGGGCTACGCTTGCCTGATGCTGGGCGAGGAACGCTACCCCAGCTGGCCCGCTCGCTCGCTCGCTCGCTCGCTCGGTGTGTGTCTGTCTCCCCAATGCAGGAAATGCGCAAAAGACGTCAGTGTGTGTATCTGTGTGTGAATAGAAAGTTTTGCCTGTTGGGGGAGCAGTACGCTTCAAGTGATCACCGGCGAGCAACAGCTACCAGCGACGAGGGAAGAGCCTTCCCCGCCGCCGCCGCTTCCCCGGATCGTGACTTGGAGCAGAGACCCCCCGCTGCCCCCTCCTCCCTGAGCAAGAACTCGGGCCGGAGCGTTTCCTCCGGCGCGGCCAAAGCTGCTCGGGGCGTCTGTGGCGAGGAGGGGCTGGGCAGTTCGCGACAGTGCTGTCCCTCTTCCGTCTCCTCCACTGCCGCCGCCGCCTCTCCCCCCTCCCCGCGCGAGGAGGAAATTTCAAAAGCGAAGCCTGCCGCGCTGGGTTATTTTGCTTCCTT